ACTAAAGGTCCCCAGTGTAAAATGTGGCGGGAAATTTCAAGAAAGTTTTCTCCCATTCTTTTCGGGAATAATTTTCAACATTTGGTTCTTTTGGCAGATTTTTTATGGGGCGGATGTGTTCGATAGGAGGGGATTCAATTGGACCGGAGTTTTTTTTCATTGGAAATTTTCCCGGAATGAATAAAGTTTATTGCCTTTCGATTCTTAAAAATTCAAAAGAAATTTTTACCAAGGATTCCCCAACTAATTGGGCAATGCCCCTCCAGGTTTTTTTAGGATTGTTATTCAGCCTTAGATTGCAGGAGATACCATCGATTCCATTTATTTCGGTATTGGTTCCGTCATTGAGGGGAAGGGTGGGAGAGAAAGGATTCCAATAAGAAAATCAATAACCTTTCCTCCTTTAGTTTAGTTGGTTTCCTATCTATTATCCTCTAATTGGTAACACCGAATTAAATTTGAAATCAGTCTAATGAATTAATTTGGTATTGTCCTGTTACACACTGCTGCTGTATAATAAAATGACGTCTAGTCTTGTCGTTTTATTAAAAATATCAAAGAGACGACGAATACGTAATTTCGGTCACACTCCTACCAGGGTTTCTCACCAAGCTCAAATCTATATTTGGCTGATTTGGTACATTTAAGTACAAAATGAAATGTACTTGACCGCTGTCTAAATGAAATCCATCGCTAGTACAATTATTGGATTGAGGTGTATTGATAGTTAGTTAGTTAGCATGTTGTTGACTTTCCTATCAAACACTAGAGCAAGCAACCATCGAAAGTCCATCCTTTCTCCCTACAATCCCAGGAATCTAGCAGACACCTATTTACAATTCCCATGATCTTTTACTTTTATGTGCGATTGTTTTTTATCCAATGACTACCACACCCAAGCATATGTTTCTAGTCTGCTCTGGTCTGTTGTACTATGTTCTGATGAAAAGTTTGAGCCAGAAAAGAAATCCCAAGATTGGCTCTGCCTCATCTCTTTGGGTTCATGCCATAATACCAATTGGAAAATATGATACAGATAGAAATAGTAACCTAGCACTACAACTTATTAACTGTTCGGTGAAGAATCAATTATATGAGATGAGATGATATGATGGTTTATACAAGAAATGTAATTTAGAGCACGACAGCAACCGCAACGACAACACAATAAAACCGAAATTTGTCTGTTTTGGGAGTAATCTACGTACGGACTAATTTAACAGGAAATACGCAAGTTTTACGTTCCACAGCTACAAGCATTGCACTGCTTCGCATAGCATAACATATCATAGCAAACATAACATAATATAACATAGCATCACATCACATCACATCACATTACATCAATTTGAATCTCTATCATATTTTGGCACAACTGACCCTAGAACATGATTTCCATATTAGCTAGGATATCTCTCTTTGTCTCAATGAATCCGTTTGGGAAAAGCTTTCTCCCAAAGGAGAATCTCTGGATCCAAAAAGAGAACTGAACAGAAATAAGAAAACAAACATATCTGCTCACTGCTGACAATCTTCCAAGAGAGAGAGAGACAAGAAAGAAATAAACGTTAAAATAAAATACTATTTTCAAACTGTTTAAGCAATATCTGCTTATTTGTTTATTTGCTTATTTTGCATAGAAGTAATTTTTTTTCTTTTCATTGGCACTCATCGTCCATCGTGGATTAGATTACACTCATCAAACCAGTGAATCCCAGTGGGAGTAAATCAAGAAAAATCAAGGTATCAATTAACTAATGTGAGAAAATGACAAATTATGCATAAAGCAAATACAACAGACTGACTGGAGTGGACTGGAGTGGACTGGACTTGATTATGCTGCTCCTAATGATAACATAATGCTTTATGGCATTATGTATACTACACTGCACTACGAGACATTGCGCTGCACTACATTACACAGTACTGCAATGAACTGTACTGTACTACTTGAAAAAAAAAAATTCAAACTCTAACGCTAGGTTAACCCAACTCAGTGGAACCAACAACCGGGAGTAGTCGTTGAGGAAGAATTTTGAAATATTGTTGTATTTCTTTATTATCCATCCATCTCAGCCAATCCGTCTCATCATCTCTTGTCGACTGATCTAATTAAAGGAAAGGAAAGGAAACCAAGAAAAAAAAAATAAAACCTGTTGCCTTTTTGCTTTTTATTCAGAAATTGGTTTTTAATGATGTCTTACTAATGATAATTATTAAGTGGAATATTTGACAAGTAAAAAAAAAAAAAACTATAATTAGGAATACTATAAAACGTTTCTTTTATTGTTTAATTTTAAGTTGGGAATTTTTTGGTATTATTATTAACATAGTAAGAATAGTTATCTTTGACACCAGAAGTCATAATTATTCTTACTAGTTGATATTTCTACAGCTTATCTTCGATTCCAAAGAACAAAACAACAACAACAGCAGCAACAGCAACAGCAATAGCAATATAACAGCAACGGCAACAACATCAATAACAACAACAACGACCGACGGCCGACGATTTGAGTATTATAAAACTGTCTATTAATAACACATTGAATCGGTTATTTGCTTCTAATCACATCATATCTCATTGCTTTAATCCTCATTACAACTTCTCATCTTTCCTTTTTATCTTAGTTGTACTTTTTTTTTTCTTCTTCTTCTTCTTCTCTCTCACTTTCTCTACTTTGGATTTTGGATTTTGGAATTTTTCTTTCTCATTGTCAATTTCTAGGCTGGATTGTCATACAAATTAACATCATCATCAACATCTTCAAGAAATTTGACTTCGAAGATTTATTATCGATCAAACAAGTGCAGAGTGTGTTTTTTCTTTTGAATAAAAGCAAGAATTATTATTATTATCATATCACATTAATTTTTGGTTTTTAAAGCTATTCATTTGATAAAATTACCATTTATATATTTTTTTATTTGGTTTTTAAGAATAGAGGAAAATTACAAAACTAATTAAGAACATCAAAGAAGTCATCATCCTCAAAAGCCCGTATTATTGTTACCATTACTATCACTGAAATAACAGATTAGAACGAAACACACACATACATACACATAAATATAAATGGCCGAAATTACGTTTCAACAACAGGCTCAAAAACTGCCAATTCCTGGAACAGTGCCAATTCCAAAAAAATCAAGACCAATAAAAACAAATAAACCAAGACCATTTCTATGTTCGATATGTACAAGAGGTTTCGTAAGGCACGAACATTTGAAGCGGCATAAAATTTCTCATACAAATGAAAAACCTTTCTTATGTATATTCTGTGGTAGATGTTTTGCAAGAAAAGATTTGGTGCTCAGACATCAATATAAATTGCATCCTGCGTTAGTGTCCCAAAAGGATTCAAAAGATTCAAATTCAAACACAAACAGTGGATCAGCCACTAATGAAAATATTGTTAAAGTTACAGGTAATAAACAAACAATTCTACCAACACCATTGAATCCACTAGCGATGACCACTGCTCAATTGAAGAAAAAGAATGCAGCTGAAAAATCTAATAAAGTAAGGAAAAATAGTGTATCTACTACTACGCGACAACAACAAAAGAAGGATAAATTAAAACCACCTGTACAAAAAAGAAAACGTCATGCTTCTTTCTCTGCATCAAATGCTTTTACTTATAGACCAAATAATGTAGAATTAAGCACTATCCCATCAAGTACAGATTTAAGCTCAACAGAAAATAATAATCAATTGAACAATCAAACAAATATAAATCCAGATATAGTTGGCATGAATCAAGATCTCTCTCAAGATGTTCCTCATCAAGTTGGTTTCTCAACTCCTCAACTTTCTGCAAATAGATTATTAGAAAAAATTTTCAACTCTGAATTAGCGGTTAATGCTGATATTCTACAATTTTCTTTAGAAGATAGTTTTCTAACAAATAACCTACCATCGAACTTACCAGGTTTCATAAATAACGACATCATGAACAACAAAAACAACAGCAACAACAACAATAATAATACTAATAACGGTCAGAAAAAAAATGACAATCAAAATAAAATTAATGACAAGAATAATGATGACAAGATTAATAATAGTAATAATCATAGTATCATTAACGACAACGGTATGAGCTTAGCTCAAAGTGTAACAAGCATGTTCAATTTTTTTAATAATAACAATACTAATAACATTAATCATAATAATCATAATAATAACAATCCAACAAATCTACCACGTTATATTCATCATGATAATAACACTAATCAAAATAATACCGATCATAGTAATCAAAATATTATTAGAAATGACAATAATAGCATTAATAGTTCAAACTATAACAATAAAGTTTTTGCACCTTCGGCATCATTTTTATCATTGGCAAATTTATTAACAATAGGTCCCACTGGTGAAGGTGGTTATTCGAATAGTGATATCATACTTAATAATATTAGTAAAAACAATAATTCGTCTAGTATGAGTAATTTGATTGATTATTTCAATTATTCCCAACAGAATCCAATATTAAATCACAATAACAGCTCAAACAATGACAGTGTTAGCCCAAAAAGCGAGAAACAATTGGATGGTAATCACTATGACGAAAAATGGCTATCTAGCTTTTTAGCCATTAATCCCCAATTTCAAAATGTTGATCCGGATAATTATAAAATTTCATCAAAGAATTTTAATGAAATTGGGTTTGTTGATCCATTTTCAAACACTCCATCAACTATATCTTCAGATATCAGTTCATCTTCAGGCTCCCCTACTGTAATGGATCAGGCAACTGTTTCATCTTCTACTTCTTTCGAAAAATCTGCATCTCCAAAAAATACATTTGTTAATAATATTCCAGAGGTAAAAGTTAATGGTATTACTTCTTCAACTAATATGCATTCAAGCTTTAATAAAAAAAGAAAAAATTCTAGAGCTAGTTCAAAGCGTAAAGGAAGTGTTGTATCAAGTTTTTTTTCATCAAGACAACATGACATATTTACAGAAGACACCAATTTCTTAAATTCTATTATAAATCAAAACTTAATCCCTACAAACTATTCCCAAGGATTCGAATCTATCACTAAGACCAACGCATTGTATATCGGAAATCAACAATCGGCTACAAAGTTTGTGGAAACTAGAGACCATTTTACTGAAGAAATCAGACAACATATTATTACTGAAAACAATTTAAAATGTGACTTGTTCCCTACAGTTACAGAATTGAATTCATATGTCAATTTATACATTTTGAAATTTCATCCGTACTTTCCATTTATTCATTTGGGTTCATTGACCGCTGGTAAAGATAATTATGCGTTTATTTTATCATTGACTGTCATCGGTGCATTATTTGGTTTTCATTCTTCGCATGCAATGCTGTTATCTAAGGTAGCATGGTTTCAAATTAAAAATACTATTACTAATCTAAGACAAACCCATACATATTCAGATATTCCATTATGGGTTTTGCAGAGTATGGTTTTGTTGATATTTATCAATATTTTTAATAATGATTTGAGTGATAATCAGAAGAATATTATTCATACACAATTGATGACTGTTATTGAATTGGTAAAATTAACAAAAATTAATCTACCAATTGAGGTGGTCGAAACTCCACCAATTGATAGTGATCATTATATGGATTTCCATGACAATCCTGAAATAATCTCAAAGTTTGAAGCTCAAATAAATTCTATTGAACAAGTCAAGAAGAATTTCGATTACTTCATTAAGGCACAATCTCGTATTAGGACATGTCATACAATTTTAATTATCTCTAATATGTTCACTACAATGGTTGGTCTAGAATCTTCATTCCACTCTATTGATGTTAAATGTGGTATACCATGTAACTTAGCAGAGTTATTTGACTGTAAAGATGAAAACGAATGGCAACGTCTTCTACGTGAAAACAATATTACCATTGACTCAAAGTTCTCCCTATTAGAGTTATCTAATGGTGGTGAAACGTATGAGAATTGTTTGAATTACTTAGCTAACGGTAACAACTTCTTATATGAAAATGAAAAGTTATCTTTGAAGACCTTACTATCATTATTAGTGACTATTCATGAGAAGATATTCTTAGAAAGAAATAAGATTTCACAGAAATTCCAAAGAAATACATTAAATAGTGAACTGTTTTGGAGAATGAATGCAAGACCAGTTATTGAGTCAGCTTTGAAGAATTGGGAAGCCTTGTATTTAAAGAATGGTGGTATATTGGTACCTAATGAAAATAATATTAGTATGATTTATGAAAATCCTGAAAGTTTAATGGTAATTCCATTATATGCATTAGCTAATATCCGTAAATGTTTGGATCTAACAGTAGTTATGAGCACTATCTGGTTACAAGATTGGGAAAAAATGAATAAAATTTTAGAAAAAAAGATCCTGTACTGTGATTTGGATTCTTTACATGAAGCCACTGATTATGCCTTGAGTGTGATCAATTTCTGGGTTAATTCTGTTTCTATTACTCAAAATGCTAAAACAACTTCTAGAAGAACTCCTATTTTTGCATTATTGAGTATATTTGTTTCAATATTTTTGATCTCTGAACAAATGAAAAGAATTGAAGATTGGGCTATTGCTGTTGACAATAATTGTTTAACACCAAGTTCTTTACCTCCTGTGTTAAAAACATCTGATAGAATTGCATGGTTAAGATGTGAAAAGATTTTGAAAAAGGTTGAAATGCATTTATTACCCAAGGGTTATAATAAAGAAACATATGCTGAATTCCTAAGAATTCAAGCTAATGGTGCATTAGATGTTGATGTTTTGGATGATAGACTAGCTGAAAATGCCATGAAACAAGAAACTTCAATAGACGAAACTGTTTATGTCATTAAAAACGCAAGATTATCATCAAGATGTTTGTATTTAGGTGTAAGAATATTGGGGGATGCACCAATCTGGCCTATCGCATTGTTATTGGCACATGCCTTGCAATCGAGAGCAGTTTACAAATCTAAACATCAGAATGATAACAATCCAGTTAATATCCATGATCAATTTAACACCATGAACGTTGAAACCTATTATAATTCAACAAGCGGTGCTTATTATGACGATACAGAGAAGGAAAAGGACGAAGATGATGGTATCTTAACGTTCTAAAAACTTTATTGAAGTGAATCTGTTCTATTAATATATTACACCAAGAGAGACGATGGCTAGTAATCAAAACACCCATCATAGTTTTCCATTTTCAAACAACAATTACCAATCAACTTATAGATATCTTAATTATAGAACTGTTGTATTGTTTTGTATGGCATTTAATCCACTCGTTACTGTATTACATTATTTATAAATTCAGAAACTGAACTATTGCATTCAAGAGTGATAACTCTATTTACACATTTATTTTAAATTACTTTACATATCAATTAGCTTCTAATATATTTAAATTTGCTATCATTATTTACTATCTAGTTGTTCCTATCTAACCTTTGAACATCAAGATTTTTTCTCTGCCTTGGAGAAATTATTGAACAAATAACACAGAGGCCAACCTCATCCTCAATTAATTGATTGGGATTGACAAAAGTATATACTGCATTTTATCGGCTGGGTCAACCATCAATATTTGAGATATCGATATATCCATCCATTTAAGTCAACTGTTATTTTATCGCTTATCATTTGGTAACTTACTCCAAGATGTAAATATATACATCAACTGCATAACCAAAACTCACGTGACCACCATAATGAAGTCAATCGCGATCAACGAACCTATCCCCGTTTCTTTTTCCTAATATCGAAAAGTTATTTCGAATTGAAAAATTACAGTAACTTTATTATAATTAAAGGTAACTAATAAATGGGATCATTTATAGGATTAAAGCTAATTTCAAGGCATCAAGAGTTCGACGAGGTCTTTATTTGAATTTCTATAAGGCATCTGGGTTTTATTTTTTTGGTTTGTTCTTTTTACGGTTATATCTCGAGTTTTTTTTAAGAATTCTTGGCAGATAAGATAAAATAGACTGGAGACAGAAGAAAATTGTGATTTGAAAAAAGTACTATACATCCTAATAGAATATTAATTCAATAAATAAATAAAAAATGAGTTTAGAAGATACATTGAGTAACTTGAGTATTTATGATGCCAAGAAATATTTCCGTAAAGCCCAAAATGTGATGTTTAATTATACTGAAATGGAAGGTAAAGTCCGTGAAGCTACCAATAATGAACCTTGGGGTGCTTCATCAACTTTGATGGAACAGATCTCTCAAGGTACATATAATATAAGAGAACGTGAAGAAATTCTCAGTATGATCTTTAGAAGGTTTACTGAAAAGACAGCAAGTGAATGGAGACAAATATATAAAGCTTTGCAATTATTGGAATATTTGATTAAACATGGTTCTGAAAGATTCATTGATGATGTGAGATCATCCTTGAGTTTGATTAAAATGTTGGAATCCTTCCATTACATTGACTCTCAAGGTAGAGATCAAGGTATCAACGTTAGAAATAAAGCACAATCCTTAACAGCATTATTAAAAGATGACGAACAAATAAGAGCAGAAAGAAAAAAGGCAAGAGAAACGTCAAAGAAATTTAAAGGTGTCGCTGGCGGTTCAGCATCTGAAAGTTTAGCTGGTAAGAATACTAGAGCTGGTTTCAATACTTCTAATAGACATAATATTAGTGTAAGTGCTGATTTTGATAGCGATGATGATAATAATGATGATGTTGCGCCACGTTTGACCAGTTCCGAAATAACTCATGCAAATAGCGATGACTTGTTCAGTTACCACGGACCTGCTGTAAAGAAAAATTCTGAACAAGTACACCATCAACTACAAGAAGAGGAGGATGATGATGATTTCGCAGAATTTCAAAGTTCTGTTCCAATCAGTCAAGAAACTCAATCTACTTCTGCTATAACAACTGCCACAAATAATGATTCATTATTTGACTTCAATTCTCCTCCTGTCCCCTCTACAACAACTGCATCTACAATTGGAACTCCTCAAACCTCGAACCCTGTGTACGCAATGCCAAATGTTGAGCCAGCTATATCATCTCAAAACAATAAAAAATCAGATCCATTCGGTTCGCTGTTTATGACAGCAAAAGCTGATAAGACTCCAATTGTCCCAACACCAGCTAAAAGCACTGTTAACACCACTCCTGCCAATTTTGCTAACGATTCTTCTAATTCCGTTCCTTTGAACAATGATAATAACGATGACGATGATGATGATCTATTTGGAGAAATGACAGCTGCCTCTACTACTGCTCCTCAACCAACAGCTTCTGCACCTACTACATCTGTATCACAAAACGATGAAATTAATTTGCTAGACTTTTAGTGATGTCATTATGTATTTTGCCTTAAGCTGGTACATTTGTAAATGAATAATTTAGTTTAATTGTTATAAATTTATATAACTTCTGGAAGCGATGATTAAACTATATATTTGATAATATAATTTTATTTAATGAAAAAATCTTCTGCAAGATAATGATAATGATAATAATAATAATAATAAAACAATGATGGTCATTTCTTAACAAGTGTGTATATAACAGATATGTAGACAATTAAATTAAATGTTAAATACATCAGTCCAAAATTCATCGTTCAAAGCATTGAAACCAAGTACCAATGAGTCTATATCAGCTAGATACTCATTTAGATTTATGCTTGATGTAGATGGTGATGAAGATGTTTCTGTTGGTAAGAGCACCTCATTTTCAAACTCAGGTTTTACAGAAGGGAATATATTGCTAGAAGTATTCTGATTTTGAGTAGGGACGACTTCTTTTTGTGAATTATCATAATTGTTAATTAGTGTATCACTATTCTGTATATCCAGTGGATATTCTCGTATATTCTCTTTATTGATAATCTCGTGTTCATTATTTGTTGATTGTCTTCTTGAGGAACTCTTTGCTGAATCTATCACTTTATTACCATATGTTTGTACAAATAATGCAATAACATATTGGAATTTTAATATGAAAGTATTGTATACGTATTTTTCTGCAGTTCTTTCAAGTAACTTAGAAATTTCATTCACAACATCTACTGATGGATCGGTGTCAGCTAAAAATTCATGGAATACAGGCATTGTCACACTGCAAAATCTGACCTTCAACAAAAGTAAACCAACGGTATATATTATTCTTGAAATGTGAAATAATGGTAACGACGCGATGAACTGAGGTTCTAATTTTGCAAATTCTTGTAATGTGGCCATACAACATTTATTACATCTGATAAATGCAATTCTAACTTCCTCTGTCAATTCTGTTGGATTAGGTGATTCATTTAAGAACTTCCTTAAAATAAATTGATGGAAATATGCTTCAACAGAGTAATAGAATGCAAGCACTCTATGGCGAGTAGCTGGTATTTCTTCTTTGATGCTATTTAGTTGAAGTTCATACTTTGTAATCAGTTTTCTGATATGTTTATCTGTAAATTCAGGATCATCATCCTCTTCGTGATAATCGGAGGCTTCATATAATTGCAAATGTATCTTTTCTAATAAATGATTTAATCTTGCGAATACTATCAGCATTCTGTCATCGTCTTCAATTTTTGGCATTAAATTCTTCTCTTTTTCTTCTAGAACAGATTTACAAGCATGTTCAGTTAATGATGACCATCTTATCTGGTTACTCTGTCTTAAAAATAAAGATATGTTTAAGGATGAGATGTAATTTACCAAAGTAAGCCTTGGTCCATTTTTGTAAGTTTCTAAGGGAGTTTTGTATTGATCTTTATTATGGAAAGGGTCATCTTCATTAAAAATTTCAAAAGTACGTGCAACAAATGTGGGTCCTAAGTCTCTAGTCAAACAACAACAGATATAATTAAAAATATGATAATGTGTTTTGCTTGACCATTCTGGAATGTTATACCATAAACATAAAGTTAACAACCCTTCTAAAAGCTCTATCGATTTAACATTGCTCTTGAATAACTGATTCTTGATGATATGCAGCATAAAGCTATCCAATTTTAAATTGGTCTCGTAAGTTGTATCCTTTTCTGCCATCATTACAGATACACTTGACATGATTGCAGAAAAGTAAATAGGTTTTTCTGTTCTAAGAGTATCGACAGATATTTCAGAAAAACTTTTGACGAATGGTAATTTATTTCTATCAGTCATTTCTGTCCTATAAAGTTGAAGTCGTAATTCTGCCTCTCTGTGCGATATAATTCCAATAGAGACAGGATCAGTCAATGTGTCTGTAAAATAAGTATTTAGGACAGTAGCATTCCATTTTTCAGATAATCTATTGAATTTTTCAAACAATTCAACAATTTTACCCTTTTGCTGTTCCAATAGTGAACGAAGTTGTTTTCTAAATGAAGAGTTGTATATATATGAGCCTCTATATTTTCTCTTATTTGATTTGTCCTCTGACACCTCATTATAACTTGGCACCGAAGAACCAGCATTCCCCTCATAGCCATTAGATGGAAACAGTACAGGTGCATTAGAAATTGGAGTCTCTAATTTATTGGAATTATTTAATCTATTCTTGTTTATTGTTGGCCACAAATCATATAAGCTTTGTTGGATCCCTGGTAAGATATTTTTATCAGTTGTTTTGATCGAAGATTGATCAGCAGAAGGCTGATTTTCTAAACCAGAACATGACAAAGCAACATTCTGGTTTGAATATGGTATATTTGCCAGATTTTGTTTCATTAGAGACTGATCTTGTAAAGTAATTGAATGCTGCATGCTTTGGCTACTAATTTTGACTTGATTACTTACTTCTTCAGAAGATGCAGAATGTTTCAATGGGCCTATAGATCGACTCTTTCTCTTTCTAGTTCTCTTGGACAAATCAAATGCACATATCTTTTTACTTCTAAAACATCTTTGACATGGCTTTAAGAATATATCATCTAAATCAGATGGTACACATTTTTGCTTAGAAGCATGGCAACTTATACAGGCAAAAGTATTTCTCTTCCTTTTCTCCCATTCGCTACTATTAATCCTAGTCGGTACTGATAACCTAGGATCATCACTATTAACACCTGTAATCACTGTTATATTATAGTTTCTCGAATTATCATCATTGTTCATATTTCTATCGGATGACCCATAGTATTCATTTAATCTCGCTGAAACATTTTGTTCAGAATTCATTACTAATACACAATCAAATCTGTATTAAATTATTAACTCTCGATAATCACTACTCAATGATCACGATATTTTTACACTTGTATAATACCTAGATCAATTAACCTTTAAAATCTTTAACTATCTTTAACTATGCCTAACATTCCAAAATTTCAATAATTTTCGATGGCCTTCTTATAAAGGTCTCAATATTCCGAAGAAATTATTCAAAAGAAAAATTCCCAGTGATGAACAAGAAGTCTTGAAAGAAAAGAAGCTAATTGTAATGCTATTTTTATAAATAAATGATCGGAACTCAGTTTGATTAGTTTCTTTTATATAACCTTGACTTTTTAGATTATAAAAATATTAAGATTTGATAAAATGACGTTCAAAGTACCTAGAATTTCTTATTTTGGTTACTTGAGAAACCAGGCAGGACTTTTTGGATAAATCGGTTTTCTTGAAGAGATGATCTACTAATCCCATACAGATTTAAATATGATTTGATATCGTTATATTAAATAATTATATAAATAAAGATGTGATAAATTACAATGAGATGATATATAAGTTTAATCTTAGATCGAAATAGAATAATGTTTGGGAGATGACTAATTAATCAATTGATCTATGATTTAATGCATGTTACGGAACCTTCTTTCATACGTTGAATATCTTCCTTGCTTAATTCTGCGGCCGGAGCTGGGGCAGGAGTAATAGCTGGCGATGGGCTTGGAGTTGTGGCCGGAGCTTTTGCACGGTTGTGGACCATATGACTTTGAACCAAATGACCAGCAGCTAGTGCTGCACATAATGATAATTCACCTGCCAAGACGGCACAAGCGACAATTCTAGCCAATTGACGAGCATTGGTACCTGGTTCAGTAGGATGTGGACCACGAACACCTAATAAATCTAACATGGCACCTTGAGGTTCTAAAATAGTACCACCACCGATAGTACCAACTTCAATGGATGGCATAGACACAGAAATTCTTAAGTTACCGTCAACTTCCTTCATTAAAGTAATACAGTTGGAACTTTCGACATTTTGAGCTGGATCTTGACCTAACGCTAAGTAAACAGCAGTAACTAGATTAGCTGCGTGAGCATTGAAACCACCGACTGAACCAGCCATAGCTGAACCAATCAAATTTTTAGATATATTCAATTCTACTAAAGCAGCAACATCACTCTTCAAAACCTTTCTAACTACATCACCAGGGATAGTAGCTTCAGCGACAATACTTTTACCACGACCTTCAATCCAGTTAATAGCAGCTGGTTTTTTATCAGTACAGTAGTTACCAGAAACAGAAACGATTTCCATATCATCCCAACCAAATTCATTGACCATTTGATTCAAGGAAAATTCAACACCTTTAGAAATCATATTCATACCCATAGCATCACCAGTAGTAGTTCTAAAACGGATAAATAACAAATCACCAGCTAAAGCAGTTTGGATATGTTGCAAACGAGCGAATCTTGAAGTAGAATTGAAGGCTTTCTTAATTCTATTTTGACCATCTTCTGAATCTAACCAAATCTTACAGGCACCAGCTCTGGCTAATGTTGCAAAACGAACACATGGACCTCTTGTCATACCATCCTTTGTGACAACAGTAATAGCACCGCCACCAGCGTTGATTGCTTTACAACCACGCATTGCAGAAGCAACTAAACAACCTTCCGTAGTAGCCATTGGGATGTGATAAGAAACACCATCAATGATCATTGGACCAATAACACCAACTGGTAATGGCATAAAACCAATAACATTTTCACAACAAGCACCAAAGACACGATCATAATCGTAATGTTTGTATGGTAAACGTTCAGATGATAAAACAGGAGCATCAGCTAAAATTGCCAAAGATTTACGACGAACAACAACAGCACGAGTAGTATCACCCAATTGCTTTTCTAAAGCATACAATGGTAATTTGTTACCAACTACTAAAGAAACAACTTCATTATTCTTCAAAGTACTAACCTTGCCGGCCTTCATGATAGCTTCTAACTCTTCCAAAGAACGTTGAGGGGTTGTGCTATCGTCACTTTCAGATTCTTCTTCAGTTGAGAAATTAGAAACATTAGTACAAATGGAGGTGGAGCTACCTAAAGACTTCAATGGTTCACTCTTGACAACAGGAGAAGGTTTAGTCATTTGAGGTACTTCTTTAGAGATTGACTTTCTCTTAATTTGGTTTTTAGCCTTTCTTTTGGTCAATTCATCAGCAGTGTACTTAGTGTGGATTCTTGTAGCGTTTAATAAATAGATGTTTACAGATGCACTAACCGCCAATACAGCAAATATGACCTTACTGACAAAGCTGTCACGAATGGCTGAGCTGAAGTAACTTAAAATGGTTACCAAATTGTCTTCAATTTTATGATAGGTTTTCACGTTTTCGTAATATTGGATTGGAGCCATAGATATTATAACAGAATCGCTAAAATTAGAAGATTTTCCAGATGAAATAAATTCAGGTAAAGATAAAGTTGTAGAGTCATTGTACAAATAAGAGACAGTTTCCGAAGCCCATCTAATACCAAAATTGTATAGGTTAACACCGATGAACAATACAACAACAGAGATCTTAATAACATTCACAGCGATGCTGGAACCTAAAAGTGAGTTCTTTGATTTATTTTCAGCGCCAAAAATTAATTCAGCGGTTGTTGGAATTACACCATCTTCTTCCAAAGCTTGTTTGATAATTGTTGATCTGTAAATGATGTGAATTTCGAGCTTTAATGATAAAACAGCAGAATAAAAGGTGGCAGTAAAGAATAATTCAAAGGTCAAGATTAATGCACATAGAATGCAAAAATTGGCCAAAGATTCTAAGTGGCTAGCGTAGATTGAACAACCAACAAAAGCAATGATACATAATAAGTGATCGTGAATCAAAGTTGGAGCTTCTTCCAACATGGAGTCGTAAATTATGTTATCAATGGTCATTTTTTTAGACAAACCGATCTTTTGAAATTTTTCTGAACTGAATTGTGCTAGTCTAATCTTATGTTTAAAACCAATGATGACTAAAATAAATGGCAAACCTTCGATCAAACTAGAAGCTGGTACCGGTGTCTTAGTAATAAATTGGACAGTGTATAAAGCAACGAATAAAGCGCATGCTGAATTCAACAAGGTCGCTAGACTTAACCAGAATCTAGAACCAGTTTTACTCATTTGTTTGAATAAACTGAAAATAGTGTATGCGACCATTAAGTATGCAGAGGCAATAACGAAAATGTCAAATGGTTCTGATTGGCTAAATCTTACAGCAAACCTTTCATAAGCAGATGATAATAAATGTTGAATTTCTAAGAAGTGGTTTCTGTTGTTGGATAATCTCCATTTTTTACCATTTGCTACTTCAAAGACAGTTGGGTAATAAATTTCCTCTTGTAAAATGTATTTGGAATGTTCTGTTTCGTAGAATACATTGTTCAATTTTGGCAATGGGGTAGTTTCATCAGTTTTATCAAATTGCAAATTGAATAAATAATAATGTTTTGGTACAGACAACTTAGAAGCTTCATTAGATGGTATTAAGCTCCAGACATCTGAAGAAGGGGATCTGTAATAATGAGTACATTCTTCGAAAAATAAATCAGAATCTGGATTTGATGATGAATATATGGATGATGTTCCTAACTTCCAACCATTAACATAATAATGTATAACCGATAAATATGCAATGGATGAAACCAATAGGGAAAAGAAGATAAAGTGAATTGGATGTCTTGCAGAGAATTTGGCAGAATAAGCCATCAATTTAGCCATTGGCTTTAGACTGTCTTTCAAAAATGACATGGCACGTTATATGAATTTATAATTTTTTTTCACTGAAATAACGATAAATTAATGTGATAAAGGAAGTTCAAAATATGATATTGTAAATATAAATGTCCTAAACCAGCAATGCAAAAGGGGAATTGGATTTGGTAATGCTAATTAGTATAACTTCTTTCCTTTATTGTGAATCAACTTTTTTCAAATTAAATTTACAATGTTATCAAATTCAATAACTTTGTTTAAATTTAATATTAATGCCACTAATAGAATCGATTCCAAATTGAAACCAATGTCTATTATTAATATAGCTAGTTAGAAATTGAGTAACCAGTAATGATATCCACTTCTAAGTTAGAAATATATGGTATATGATAAATGATCAGCTAAAGCACACTACAAGTGATGAGTCTGGATCAGAATAAAAAGAAAGAGCGTGCAATAGTTTGTCCTTTTTTATATTGGGACTAAAACAACTTTAAGGAATGGTTCCAGCAGTTTGAAATTGGTGTTAAAATGATGATTAGTTAAATATTAATTAGAAACTCAGGAAATAATTGTAAAAGGTTCATTTATAATATACAATGAGTCCCGATAAATGAATGATGCTGTTATATCATTTAATTTTTTTTCCTCAATTTACTGCGCTATACGGCGGATAACTTTTTTCAATAAATTTTTTCATCCATTAAAATTGTTAAAAATTACATCTACGCTCAGTTCTCACAACTTAGTATTAACTTTTACGGCAGTGAAAAGTTACTACTAACATGAAATATCGTTCTCTTGCCAAAATTTCCTAATTAGTTACCTCGCTTTAAATCCACTACAAGGAATTATTGGTAGTAAATGGAAATGTTTTATCAATTGAAATTGAAATCTAAATTGATGAAAAATTAAATTAACGAAAAAGACCTCTCCATTCATTTTTTAGAGATGGATAAAATGCTATTTCTAACAAAGCGATATAATTCAAGCATCGGTTTCTTAGCCACTAATAGTGAAGTGAAAAAATGAATCAAAATGGAATAAAATGACAAAATAAAAGAAGAGAAGTGAAGAGAAATGAAGAGAGTAGAGAGAGATGAAGGTTGGATGAAGTTAGAAAAATAAGAGCCAAAATCAATCACTAATGTTTACGAAAAGGTAATTTGATGTAGGAATAAAGTGATTAATATGGTATAACTCTGTTTGATGTTCTTCTACCTTGAGAGTCTTCCTTATGGAGAGGTCCTGCCTAAACTTACTTCACTCGGCAAATTTCTTCTTATTTTATCTTTTGGGTTCAATCAATGTTAAAAAAAATTTAACCTATGGTTTCTTCTAGGTTTTTTGAACATCCTGGGATCCATAATCTTGATTTTGGGTTTTCGTTCATCCGCTTGTTACCAGTACTACAATAACCTATTCAAACAAAGAAGTTAAGGTACTCCCAATGAAAGAACCTTAGAAGAAAACAGACTTTAGAACTCAATCAGATTATGCTTATATTGGTCTTCCTCGATTCTGCAGAATTATTCAGGAATATATCCAAATGTAAGAGGTTTTGACCAACGTAATTATTACTTCTTTCCTACCTTGTTGAATATTTTTTGGGATTAGTGATATACACCATATCGCTATTTCAGATTTCGTAATACAGATCACACTTCTAGAAGCAAAACCAATTCGTAATAATCTCTGATCATATATCAATATTGGAAATCTTTTTATTATTGCATTCTCGACGTTAGCACCGTAATTTCCTTACTGGAAAAAGCATTATCAATCAATGAAAACCTATTTTCCGTGTACACCTTGTGAAGCTCCATGTCTAGAGCATGGCTTATCCTTGGCTGATAATCACATAGATCAAGTATTTTCATTTATCGTCTTTTACTAATATTTGAGTAAATTGGTAATTAAAGTGCAATCGTCCAAAATATCGCACAAACTTCTTTTAAATATAACCTGTTCTCTCCCATTCAAACATTAGATCTCACCGACCATCATCTGCAAAGGGTTGGCCATTGACAATCCCTTTTTAAAGCTTCTTATCTTTATTCATCAAATATTACATCATAGAAAGTGGACTGTATTATCTCAGAATGATTATTTTATGGCTTTTCTAGCCGCCAATATCAACCTGAAACAAAAATAATAATCACTAAATACGTAATATGTATATATAGATAGATAAATAGAAATACAACTCTAATAACCAATACTTAAGAGTATATCATGAACTGACGACAGCAAATAGCATCAACAGATGCTCAGAATACATATTGGCAATCGAGGCATTGATCTCTAGTATCATTTATATCATCAAGATAGCGATTCAAGTTTTAAAAAAGGAATTTTTGTATAGGTATTAAGTTTATATTAGATAAAACAAATATGGATTATATTCCAATTATAATATAATTACCAGATATATTTGACTATAAAGGTTGTTGAACTATTTAAAAATCGATGACTTACAATTTATACCTTAAAATTTCAACATGTGTGGTTTTTCACCGTTCTTCAAAGAGAAAGAAGCAGCTAAGTATTGTTTCAACAATGGAGTCTTCTTGATTTCAGCTAACAAAGCCTTGTCGACGTTCTTTTGGTCTTCGACACGTTCGGTCTTCAATTCTTTGACTTGTTGTTCTGGGAACATGTTAGCTTCCTTCTTTTGCTTCTTGTTCAATTTTTCCTTAGCGAAGTATTCAGCGTTGAACTTTTCAACGTTAACACCAGCAACGGAAACCTTGGTGGAGGTAGCAATGACGTAACGAGCATTAACTCTTCTAATTGGAACACCGTTGACCTTGAATGGACCAGTGACCAACAAAGTGTTGTCTTCCATGTGTTTCAAGTAGACGACTCTCTTACCTCTGAAACGACCAGCAAGTAAGATCAAGACGGTACCTGGGACCAAAGAAGCACGCAACTTTTGTGGGCGAGCAGTCTTTCTGGTCTTCTTTGGAGCTGAGATGTCTTCAGATGGATACCACTTTGGAGCCTATAATTAATAATAAAATATACTTGTTAGTAAAAAAAGTTTCAAAAGTTAAATAGTAGTATTTCATAAATCCAGAAAAAGCGTAAATGAAAGATAGTTTTGGACACTAGGAACATCAGATTGTTTGAACTGCGAAAGATATTGAGACAAGATAGAGGTTATGGGTTATATCCTATTTTAATATAAATCGATCTGGGATCATCCAGTAACTGCCATTAGTAGTACTAATATCTTTTCAAAAAATGGAATTTAGAAAATAGACCTCACTCTCACATGTCCATTTCATTCTGTTATCACTCAATATAATAATTGGAATTAATGGTAATATCTAAATATAAATGTGTATTATTTCTCAAATCTTATTCCACATAATTATTGTAATGTAGTATATAATAGTAATGGTAAGTGCAATATACCATTTGACAACTAATCCTTCATTCTCAATATTGGAGTTCTAAATATAATTTTCAGCTTTATTCTATCCATTCACACTACCTTCTTAAATTTGATGTAAAACGTATAATCAATATAACATACAGCTTGAGCACTCATTTCGTTGATAGTCTATGGTTTTTATGTTAATTTCAAGAAACCAAACTTCCCAATACTGAAATATATGTATATCCTAATATAATATGAGCTATACTTCAAGATATACTACTTTACAATACATCATTAATTAGCATAATATTCATTACAATCAAGATTGAATTGAGAAATGAATTAGCCTAACGTTGTTGGCACCACCTACAGTATTACAATAACCAAATCCACGAACATCAACTAAAGTGAAACCTTTGCGTATTCGAAACCAAACCTCTCTCTGTCAAGCTAAACTAAAAGTGAACAAGAACTGAATGAAGTCTGAATTACAGACAGGCAACAATATTAGTTACAATACAAACTAACCTGTCTAATTCGAGTTTACCATCTCAATCATCTAGCAAGTATTGATCAGCTATCCCATCCAAATTGTCACCTCATCGCATTATTCTGCTGCATCTTGGTAATTGGTCCAAGTGAAAAATTACCAAAGTACTGAAAAATTTCAAATTCTGCGTGGGTACCTCACGGTGCGTCTACCCAATCTCTGCCAGAAATTTTGCTCTTTTAGAAAGAACTCTTTCCAAGCCGTCGTGCCTAGCATTGGCCGAGCTTCCTGTCTAGACAAAAAACTATATTTTCCTTCTAGACAGGAAATTCCAAAAGATGCTTCTGCCTAGCACTTGCTGTCTCTTGTTTAAACTTCTCTCGATGCAGCTATACTCTTTCTTTGCTTCGGTCTATATGACAATTTTTCCGTATGGGAGAAAACACTGCTCCTTGATGAATGGGAAATTTCACCAATTTTAGAGCGCGCTGATATGAGACGCTCCTTCGTTTTCGCTAAGCAGAATCAAGTAAAAATTCTTATCCCAATGAAACATTTCTAGCTTTTTTCCGTGAAAGAAAAAAACAAGCTAGATATCGTTACCATCCGTACATCTTGGTTCAGTTTTTGGGTGTAAGGGTTTTAGGTTTTAGCAGTCACTTTCCGTGGATGGTCTTGAAAACATGAATATGATTAAAAGAAAAGGGGAGGTGTCAGTCACACAGGATGTCACGTCAGATTAATACTAATTGTAAATATTTGTGTGTTAAAACTTGAAATATATTACTTTAAATAAAAAACTAGAAAATTAGGTTAGATGAAGGGATATCAGAAATATCATATAAAAGAGTAGAAGTAAATTAATGCGGTTTAAAGTCTCTTGAGTTGTTAAATTTTATTTTCATTTTGATAATAAGAATAAACAGAAAAACATCAAGACATATGTTCTTGGGGGATCTTTGGAACAGGAGGAATGTCAGAAGCATCGCCATCGTGTCCGTAATCAATCTTGACAATAATACGGCCCTCACCAATCTTAATTGCAATATTACCTTCATTTTGGATCTGTGGATCACCAAGGTTGATTTGAGCTAATCCTAAATCTCTATCCTTAGATAATTTATGGTGAGCAACGACACCAAATACCAAATTGGCCTCCGGTGAAGCTTTGAACTCGCAGTTTTCGTTGAAATGGGCAATTCCATCGTCATCAGTCTTTTGCGGTTTTGTCTTGAACAAAGACTTCATTCTACCCTTTTGCGTCAATGATACTTTAACTTGAACGTTCTTGCTTAAATTTTCCGTAGCTAAGATTGTAACAATACCTCTGTATGTACCATTTGGAGCTAGTGTTCTTGCAAAACTGCTTGCAGCAGATGGGTTTCTAGTATGTCCAGGTGGGACACCAAGATTGCTTCTTGTTGGTGATGATGGGGTAGGAGGTTGTGCTAATGTATTTTCAGGAATAGGAGCATAACTTAGATCTGGAACTGCACGTTCTTGTTCAATGGATATACGCTGAGCTGTCTCCATCTCCTCTGACATGTCCTTTTCCTTCGAGTTAAATTCACCTTTAATACCCTTCTTCAAAATCTTACCACCAACGTGTACACCACCAGTTGCTGCACCTAAACCTGCACCGGCAACATTACCAACTGCCTTCAAAGACTGCTTCTTTTTATTTACTTCACGGATCTCCATTATTGGTCTGATATATTGTGGAACAAACTCCGCAGTAACCTTTATTGAACCTTGGGTACTCAAAACTAAGTCCCATTCATAGAGCTTATTTGATTCCATTTGAGAAATCTCAACAGGGGTATAACCCAATGGATCATTTTCAGTAGCACGATCCCAATCATAAACATCGGCAATAATTTTAGTGTATTTTCTTGATGGAATTGGAATCATAGCAGTTTCATTCCAAACAGGGTTCAAAGTCTTCTTAATAATCTCAGTGGTGAATACTTTATGGTTGTTTACCAAAATATCAACATACGGATCAGACTTACCATTTCTGTCAGATGCTAATAAGTTCGTACCGGAGATAATACCTAATTTCAGCATACCAGTATCACCGACTTTCTCACATGAAGGCATTGGCATAGAGGAAGGGTCAAATAAACACCTTATACTAAATATAGATCCAGCAACATTTAAACTATAAGGTTGTTCGTAAGAATTCTTTAGTAGTTTTAATGTTTTGATGCTAAACTCAGCTATAATATTTTCCTTGTCTTTAACTATTTGTTTTCTCGATATTCTTACTAAGACAGTACTATTTGCCAAATCACGAATAAATGCAAACCCTGAATCCTTTGATAATTTACCATTCTTTGACCTTGATGATGTGTAAGCCGGGAAAAATACATCGTCAACTAATATTTGTAAGAAGGAAGTAGGACTTGAAAGAGTACCACTGATAATTTCGAATGTTATGATACCCGCTTCGGAATGTACTAATTCGTCATAAGTGTACTTCTTCTTAGAAGCTATTTCCTTTTCTGTATCTTCAAATGGATAAGGTATCTCCACTATTTCGTAATCGGAAGGTTTCTTTTCCATTTCTTCCTTTAATTTACTTTGCTCTTTATCCATTGCTTCCTTCTTCTCCCTCATTTCCTTTTCCAATTCATTGACATGTTCAAGTTCAGTTGGAGAAAATACAGGTATGATTGGAATATAACCGACTGCTACATTTACATGATCATTTGTAGCCCTGTTGCGTAAATCTCTTAAGACCCATTTTTCACTTTCAGTTGAGGCAAGGTTGTTATTTTCCTTTTTAATTGCAGCTTCAATTAATTTATCAGCATGAAATTGAATTCTACCAATAAATCTATCTTTACCTACATTTTGATAATCAAACAAAGACAATGCGATAACATCGTTTTCGGAAGTTATTGGCAAATATACAGTAGTATCGAATGAAGGATTCTTATTTTCAGAGATGTATCTAGAACGATAGTAAATTTGGTTATTAATCAATAAGTTGAAATAAGGATCAATGTCACCGACACCCTTTAAGGAATCCTTAACAAGGGCATCATGAATACGGAATCTAAGAGCACCGATTGGTGTCTTTGGCACTGAAGTGGAAATGATGGAACCGTGAGAATCTACAGGTTTCCATTGTGCGAAGAAATATATTTGACCCTTAGGAGAGGCATTTATATAATCTTGACCAATGGAAATAACCTCGAAGAAAGTTGCAAGAGAGGCCTTGATGGAGCATAAAACTGCTCTCCTTTTTGATCTCTCATCGAAAACTGTCAATTCCAAAACACTGCTGCTTTTGGAATTCACAAATAATTCAATAGTTTCGTTCCAAGATGGTTCATTAGTTTTCTTCAAAGTTCTATATCTTTTAACTAATCTACCATTTAATCTTAATTCTGCAGAAGGACTGATAACTCCACCAACTGCATAACTTAAATCCAAACTTCTGATACTCTCTAATGTAAATTTTAAAATACCAACATTGGTATCGATTTCCTTTTCCTTAAGGTCTTCTTCATCCGACTCATTTTCAATATCTTCGTCATCAGAAAAGGAAACCATTGTTTTAGATTGTTGGAGAGACTTAACACGCTCGGATTCACTGTCTTTTATTACAGGGAACCAATTAATGGCGTACTGTAAAGTACCTCTACTTTGTACACCTAATCTCAAAACCGATGATGCATTTTCAATTGTAGGGTTCTGTAGCAATTCAGATAGGTCTAGATCAAATTCACCAATTATGTTATCCTTACGCAGATCATTAAAGTCATAACATTGAAAGGTCAATTTTTGGTCCAAAGTACTGACCAACATATATTTAGTCTCATTCCAACGAGGATCTTTAACATCCGATTTAATTGATGTTCTAACGGTATTTGATGATCCCTGTACAGTTGAAGAAGTTGATAAGACAACATATGGATCAACAGTATTTCCAATAAATTCGGAGCTCTTCAAATGTGACGCTGAATAAATACTAACTGCAATAACACCGATAGCTTCATTAGATTGTGCGGCTAATATATCTTCAATATCGATATCAAACTTGTTTGGAGCAATCATCATTGGACCAATGGTAGAATTAACCATACCCTTCACGAAAGATTTCAAACCAGGTAAAAATGACATGACATCTAAACCTAAGGTATCACCACCTATAGGTTTTAATGCGAAATCAATCATTGGAGCTTCTAATAATTGTACAGAAACTGTTTTTATATTAGGGAATGTTTGACCAAACTTTGTAATTAAACGAACTCTACCAGAGACGTTAATATCCTCAACGATAATTGGGACTGTCTTTGATACAAAACTTTTACCCAAAGTGACACCCAGAACAATTCTAGGGTTGACTTTTTCTCTAACTTCTCTTGGTGTCATATCAGAAACATCACTGGGAGTAAAAGCAAATGATAACTCCAGTTCGGTAATATCTTTACCACTTTTTGAGTTTGTCTTGATGCTTCTAATAGCTGGCGCCTTAGAACCCAAGGTAAATTCTTCCAAACTCAATGAATCGATACCATATCCGGGAGCGGATTCGGCCAAAATTGGGTTTGCTTGGGCCATTACCTGTTCTGAGATAACAGGCATATGGATAAGCCAAATTTTGGATAGCAAAGTATTTAACCATACAGAACTTTCACTTTTTTTAGATATAGTTTCACTAACATTAGATCTTTTTAAATCATCCCTTAAATTTCTTGCAAAACGAGAATACTCAAGACTGTAGACAGAGGCAGTACATGAGAAAATCAGAATTAGAGACCACCAAGAGAACCCATAATAGGCAAATAACCATGAGAAGAAACATGTTCCTATGATAGGTGAAGCATCGTGCCACCAATCGTTGAAAAAAGTTTCGATGATATAGTCCTTAATAGCCTTTGAATTGTTACCAACATTTTTGTTCTTACCAGAAGAATTAAACTCACCGATTTCTCTCCAAGGGAAAAATGTATCGAGTGATTCTTTATTAATCATTTCCTTTATTGACAGTTTCTCTTGGTTAGTGACACCGCCACTTTTCTTTGTGACATCTAAAGAGGTATCATAGAGATTCTTTTCTCTCGAAGGGGCCTTTTTAAGTTCATTTACATGAACAGCTTCTAAAGGAACCGTACCTATAGATCCAGAAATGTTGGGAGGAGGTAACCTCCTAGCCTGAGTCTTAGCAGGAACAATTGATTCCTTTGGAGGAGCATTTTCATCCTCATTATCAACATTCTCGATCGCATTCTCTATTGCATTGCCAACAGTACTTTCAACGCTAGCAGCACCAGTTTTAACCGAATCGAATGTGGTCGTAGCAGGTTTAACGGGGCTGTTAATACCGGCAATTGCTACTGTAGCATCAACTTCACCAGCACGAGCACTCATTACTCTTAATTGTTAAAAATTATAAATATTAACGTTTTTCTCTTACCTTATTTTCCCAGTAATCGTAATACCCTTTCTCTCCTGTATATAAATATCACACAATTCCAATCCTCTAAGTTTAATCCAAATAATTATCCTATAATATCTGTAATGAAAGAATAACTAAATAAATAGACACTCTTTCCCTTTCGAACAGATCAATCGTATTCGTATCTCCCTAATCCTTGCAGAAAAATAAAATGCTTGATTTAAAAGAACAGAACCAGATAACAAATAAATAAAACAAATTGTATATGAACAATGTAATATGATATGATTGCTGTGTTCTAATAGCACAATTTCATAAAACAAACCTAACAATCACACTTGTTATATACTAAAACCTAATATATTTTGATCCCTTCAATAATTTTTCAATAAAGGGCAGGTTGGACAACTTCTAGCAAAAAAATTCCTTTAAGGATGAGTTGTTGCAAACGAAAGGTGAGAGCAGCTTGATGAGGAATGAATGGAAGGTACAGGGAGATGGATAGAGGGGGGGCTGTTTTTGAATGAGTAGGTAGGTAAAGGGGGTTAGTAGTGGTCATTGTTGATAAATGTAGGATGGTTGATTGATTAATTGTAGAATTTGAACATTTTCTGCGATTAGTTAAGTCTAGTGCGACTAATGTTCTTCTCGTCAGTACGAAAGTGGTTTGATGGGGTTTGTATATACGATAGAGTTTAGATAGATGCGAGTTTTTTTGTTATATAGTAGAAGTTGTGATTGTAGTGAATGATGGGATAGGTTTTGATTTCATTGTTTGTCTTTAGGCATATCTGGAAGCTAGATCTGATCTTTTCTTGATTGCGTTAATGATTTGTTCCTCTGTGAAAATTTCTGTTTCGAACAGTTTGTTCAGGAACAGATGGTGATAGTTTTGGTTTAGATCACGTAAACGGAATGAACAGTATACAAATTGTAAGCATACTGAGTCACTTAATTTATCCTTTAAATTGGCCTCGGTTAATTCATTTAGGAGATAGCAGATACATTGGTTGACAAATTGAAGTAGTAATGGGTTTGTTTCGACAGGATCTATTTTGGTATTGATTATATTTTTTAATTCTTCTTGTTTTGGTTTTTCAGTGATGCTAGTATTCTTATCTTCTTCTTCTATTACCTTAGCGGTTGGCTCAGGTGTAGTAGTCTTATTCTGTGGATTAGTTTTCTCCTTTTCTATTTTGGTTTCGGGTTTAACTTCTTCCTCAGGTTTAGCCTTACCTTCATCTGATTTAGTCTTGTCTTCAAGTTCAGCTTTATCTTCAGGTTTAACTCCTTCACCTGTTTTGGCTTCATCTAAATTAGCTTCCTCCTTTGTTTTAACTTCCTCCTTTGTTTTAACTTCCTCCTTTATTTTAGCTTCCTCCTTTACCTCAAATTCCTCCTTTCTTTTAGGCTCTTCCTTTACCTCAGATTCTTCCTTTACCTCAGATTCTTCCTTTACCTCAGATTCCTCCTTTGCCCCAGATTCTTCCTCTTTCTCTACTTCAGTCATAACTGGTTCTTCCTTGGTTACCAAAGGAATAGCAAGAGGCTCATAACCGATTTGGAATGTTGTAGAAAATACACTCACAGAATTATACGTATATTCTCTCAACACTTCAATTTTCCTCTTAATCATCATTTCTAATAGAGACTCATCTGGAGGATCAATGTCAAGCAAGTAAGATGATATTTCTCTTTGAATGAACTTGAATCTCATCGACAAAAAAACTTGAAGCAAAGATATTGAGTTCTCTTTATCATCGAATGGAGGTATAGCAGCCAAATATTTTAAAATCTTCTTCAAAGAGTTGGTCGTGATATTGGTAGATAACAGTTTGACTAGACCAGTTAACATAGTTGTATTAATCTCATTTAAGACTTTTGCACAAATATCCTCTACAATGCTGGAACCTGGAAATTTGATCAATAAAGATTTAGAGTAGGTATATAGCATAATTGCTTCTTGGTAATGACCAGTTTTAATACAAGTACGTGCAAGAAATGGTACCTCCATTAATTCTGTAATATTATTCAAATTCTCTAGAACAGTTGCCAAATTACCAGAGTGGCTTGAACTTTCATTGTTCAAGTTCATTCTTTTTCTCAATCTCTGGACAGCTTGGTTAAATTCATCCTCTTCATTGGCACTATTGGCTTTTTCCTTATCTTTTTGTTCTAAGAAGCCTTCTATAAACAACTCATCATTATCTTGTGTACTTCCAGCCTTTTTCAATTGCGATTGGGAGTCATTGCTGTTACTAACATCCCTCAATTGTGCCAATTCTGAGTGTATAGAAGATATTATATCCATTGTATTGTTACCCAATACATCATCAATTACTTTTGTCTTGTTTGATACCAATAATTTCTTGATTTCTCTATCTATAATAGAAATTTGTGCATCAACTTCAGCAATATCCTCTACAATGGAACCAGGGAGTGGGTTAGAGGAAAAATAGTTTTCATATGACTTTGAATCCGATTGAAGAGTTTCTTCAAGAACTTCAATACAATATTTCCTTTGTTCACTCGTCAGTTTCTGATCTGACTGGATTAATTCATTCAATATAACATCCATTGTATAATATCAACTCTTGCTCTTCTAAAATATTTTCAATCCTTAAGGATATATCCTTCAATTAATCTTGATCCACCAGGGAAATTTTGAAGACAATGTTCTATCTTATGAATAGCTTAGTTTATCCTACAAGCATAAATTAAAGCTCAAAATCAAGCTTCTTTAACCTATAAACCCAGCCTTAAATTTCATTAGATCCAAAGCTTTAACATGTTAAGTTAATTTGTAATTTTTTGACAGCAGTACTGAAACACGCGTTAAAGATAAATAATAAAATGACGTATTAAAGACAAATTTAATATAAGAATTCACAGATTTAGTACTAAACAGAAAATTGGTATTAACACTATCATGAGCTAATCATATATATGATGAATATGGTCAGAACTTAGCAAAGGATATAGTCAATGATTGAGAACCTGTAGACTCTCAGAAGTTCTTCGCCGTACCATCGAAATCATATGAGGAGCCCTATAAATAAATTGTAAAAATCATTTTAGCAAATAAACTAGCCTCTTGTCAATTTTATTCACTGGCCCTTTGTGAGTCTCTCGATTGTTTTCTTGATCACATCTGCGGATTGGTCGAGTTCTTTACGTTTGAAATCAAGATGACGTTCCTTTGCATTGACCCAATCTTTTGATCTATTGAAAACCATGGCACCATGATGAGAGTCAAGAACAAAAGCAGCCTCTTGCCATAAGTATTGACTCTATAAATAGTTGTAAGTGTTTGCCACATACTTATTATCAAATATAAAGTTAGTAATCCACGCTTGATAACTTTGGAGAAGGTGTGTCAGCGGCTAGAGACACCTTTATCTCATGCTACTACTCTGCTTCCCCATCTTTAAAGGGTGAAAAAGAATAAACTTGAAATCTTTTACAAAATTCAAAAAATATACATACTTTGGATAACTTATTAAGGTTGCTTAATATTATATCAACCTCCTTAGTGTACTCATCCATAATATTGGCAGAAACCTCGTATAGCTGATCCCAATCCATTCTATCATCTAAATCTCCCTCATCGTTATTACGACCAGATGAGTTCACTGTCTCTTCGGAATCACTTTTCATTATCTCAGTAATATCATTGATCCTCACAAGAACATCTTCAGCCAGCACTGGCTTCTGAACCCTCTCTTTATATTCCTCATCTTGCCACTTAGCGCCTAAGTCAAAAAGACCCTTATTATCACCACTTTCAACAACCACAACACCATCAGCAACAACCGAATTAATCTCTTCACTGACAATATTACCACTACTCATATTCTCCTGGTTTCAATGACGTTGCCCTCCTTAAACAACCTCTTTAACCATTCTATCTTACAATTTTTATTAACTTCTTTTCTAAACTTTTACTTATTTATATATTTACATCTTTTCGCCATATTTATATAACTAAGCAATTTTATTTTGGGTGACCTTATGACAAGAGACCATTGTTATCCATGGTTGGTTGGAAACGTAAGGACCATTTAGGACCCAATGTATTGACTAATAGGAAGTCTGTTCCTCTGAAGAGCCACGATGCCATGTAAAGGATGAATGATAAGATTGCGACTAATCTTACTATGAATTGTACGAATGACAGTCTTTTATCTGATATTACAATGGATAATGGTTCGAAATCGTATCTGAAGAAGATACCTGGAATGCTTGTCGTTAATTTTATCTTTCCATCCTTTGGTGCAGTGTGGTACTCCGCCAGGGAGTACTGGTTGGTGTCTACTTCAGCACCTAATTTTTGGAATATTGTTGGAACAACAGATGTAGAGTAAATATATCTTGAGATAGACTTTTGCTTTTCGATCTTTGCAGTGCCGTCCAGTGGATTGTCGATGTAAGGGTAGAAATCCCCGAATGAGAATTCGTTGATGACATGGTTGAAGTCTATTTGGTCGAGTGGAGCTCTTCCGTTATCTCTATAACCCCAGCCTTTTGCGGTGAATTGTAATTCCCCAGCGACCCTATTCAATTTAACAGATCCATAGATATGACAACCGTCCACTTTGAACAATGGGTTCCCATCTGCATCGACTTGGGATTTGAAATCAAGTTTTTCTCTGAATTCAGCAGGGATAGCTTCTCCTATAATTTCGTCTAATCCAGGTGATACAATATCATTCTTGTTATTAACTTTAGTGCCATAAGGAACAAAAAAGGGCATATCTTCAAATATAAGTTCGTTGGAAACAAACTTACGATCCATAGTTTCATCCATAGCATTGACATGGATCAATTGGCAAGGCATTTTAATATACATGTCCATATTAATCTGGACAGTTTCCCTGATGGTTGGGTCTACGGAATACTGTTCATCGATATAACCACCAAAATAACTACCAAATTCAGTCCATGCAATAAGCAATAACATGAAGTACGTCAAAATAGATGACAGACCACCGTTAACAGACTTTTTAACATGTCTTTCCTCAGTTTTTGCTATACATTAGATCAATCAAGCAATTAGAGCTTCACCGTGATATAAATGTTAGTAAATATTATAAAATAGGAAGCAGCAACAAACATATATAATAAAAAATCAACATACGAAAAGCATCAAACGTTTTTAGACCTGCCATACCTGTCTATTCTTACTTATCTACTGTGTGTACAATTCAATATGTAAATTTATATACCTATTCTCTAATATGTTATACTTTTTAAGCTGTGTGAAATCTTGTTGCGGTGTCCAAATATTACGACAAATTTCAGTGGTTAAGAATAAGAAGTTTTGCAAATAACAGTTGAAAAGATAAAAATATGAATGTATAAATGATTGGATCAACCACATTTGAATATGGATATATATGCTAATGAGTCTTGTTTGTAAAACGAAGTGAATGTTATTGTTTTTTGTAGTGATTGTTTCTATTGGGGCCGGAAAGAGAGGGCTCTTTCCTATTTCTAAAAAGTTTCCTTTAAAAACGCATAGTTGATGATGGTTCAATCGGTTTGGCATCAAACTCGTCAGAACTAGAAGACATTCTTGTGAGTTCTTGTAATTCGAAGCTTTCTCTGTTCTCATCTAATGCATTGTCATCTGAAAATATGTCTATTTTGTTCATATCTGGTGCTTGTTCTTCAAGTTCATCGGACGTTGGATTCAACGCTGTTGGTTCATTGACGTCTGTGAAGACACCTTTATTGAATTTTAAGATATGTGTATCTGCGGCATCTACAGTATCTGGTGCAGTTGTGTCGGCAATACACCATTCGATACCTGACCACATGAAACAGGACATGACTATCATGATTAGAAGTACCCCAAGACAACCATGCCATGACTTCCCCAAATGGAAACTAAAACCAAATGGCGATAATTCAAAATTAATATCTGATCGTAGTTTTAAATTTATGGTGAAAAATAAAATGCCACTTAACAATCCACAGACTAAGTTGACAAATGACAATGTTGAAATCGTATGTACTAGTATTTTCTCCTTGATTGTATCGATTGAACGTCCCTTGATACAATAATACCATATGGTCAATACAATGATTACAGCTTCAACCGACAATACGACTATTAACATGTTAACCGCCAGCGATTCTTTTCTTCGAAAAGAGTCTATCATTTTGTCATAGCGCAATTGTTCGGAAGATGCATTGTGATCCGTAGGTTTCTCATAGGCAAATTCTAAAATTATATAAAGACCAAAATCCAATAATGCCTCTCTATAATCAAAAATATATGAGGATCCTACATCAATACAATTAATATCTGACTCAGTAGAGTTTCTTTTTTGCTCTAAATTACCATCATCATTAAAACGACTTTCAACATCAAATCGAATATCACAACGCTTATAAAGAGATAAAGTAATATACTGAGGAATCCCGTTGACCTTGCTGGAAGAGTAATCTACAAATAACTCTACCTCACTAGTCGATAACTGATATTCATCTCCATTCATAGCAGGAACATCTGAAGCAGCCTTTAAATAAGTAAATAGCCCATTTGAAATATCAGCCGAGTACCCATCAAATCTTGTAACATAAAAACTCACAGGTGAGACATTTGGACCTACCAAAACTACTAAACCAAACAATATCACTAGAAAAGAAGGCAAAAATCGAAGAAATTGTATCCATCTATCAAAGACACTTAAATTAGAAAATGGTTTATTCAATATATGCTTAAGACTATTTAATTCCATCTTATGAAATATAATCCCTTTTTGGCCTCTCCTTTGAAAGATCTCCTTTGTCTCCAAGGCTATATGCAATAATAAACCATAAATTAATCAGAACCGACACTACCGATCACTTGAAATGATCTAACTAACACTATTTTATAACGTTTTACTTGTTCTTTCAATATATATCTACTTTAAAATCCCTTTCCACTATTAAATTTCTAAATTTTAAAGGCTTGATATTAAAATGATTTTGAAAATTTACATTTTAAACCATAACAACAAACAGGAAGGTAGATAAAAGGAGGTTTAATTGGGTGAAGTTGCTATCGGAAGACGGTTTTGGGTGTGTTGCAGCTGTTAAGTCAGTGGTATTTTATTGGATTGTTTTGAAAGCAGTGTTTCAAATAGATTTTTGAGGCGGCAATTGGATCATTAACATTTATTGACTCTTTTGCTAGTACTCTAGAAACATAATAATAAAAATAATAATAGGAAAGATGGCGCATTCCCAGAAGGATTTAGCAGGTTGGAAGATTGTCATTACCGATGCTGAGAATAATGTATTGGATGGATCAAAGCGTAGGTCCAGAAGAAATGCTCCTAAGGAATATATACATCTTGAACGAGAATCCGATGAGCTACGTTTTACTAGGGGAGATAGCATAATAATGTATGATGAAAAGGTAGATTCCAATATTGTTTATTTAGTAAATGAGATTAGGTTGAACACTATGAATAATGTTGTAGAGATCCTGGGGATGTTGTATCTGGGGCATGATGATTTGGATCCAATTAAATATTTGGAGCAATTCGATCCAGATTTTGTTAATGATGATCGATCTGATGAGGAATATGTGGCGAGAATAGAACAAGATGTAGGTAAGAAAAGATTGTTTTTAACTGCTTCTCTCTCTGAAATATGGCTGATGAATTTCAGAGGAATGGCGAACATCTTAGAAGAAGAAGAGGCAAAAGATCTAACTGATAAAATTGAAGGTAAAGATTTTGTAGTAAATTATGTGTGTGATCCAGATTCGACTAATTTCGTGAGTATAGAATTCAAAGGAGTAAGAAATAAGATTTTGGAATGTGAACCGAAAGAAGCAGAAGAATTTCTGAAAAAAGTATCCCTACCTAAAGTTAATACGAATACCATTAAGTCACAAGAAAAGGAGCCAAAGAAAATTGCGAAGTCAATGAAGTCAAGGAAATCAGTTGTCGAGGATATTAAATTGGAATCTGAGAGTGAAAATAATTTGGCATCTTCTTCAAGTGATGAAGAACAAGATAATTCTTCAGATTATGCCAATGATAATGGAAATCACATAAGCACAGATGAAGAAGATATAGATAACGAAGAGGAAGGAAGTGGAAATGATGATAACAATGATAATATCTCAATAGATACTGATGAAGAAGAATATGGAAGAAAAAATAAGCGTAAAAGAAGAACTACACAAACCACTTCAGTTAAGGCCCCAAGAACTAAGAGGAAAGCGACTAGTACTGTTGTGGATGATAATCCTAGATCGGGTACACCTAAAACTACTTCTAATCAGCAAAATGGCTTATTTATTAGAAAATTCACGAAAAGAAATGTTGCCCGTGCTAAAAAGAAATATACCCCATTCTCCAAAAGGTTTAAGTCAATTAAGGATATACCTGACTTGACTAAACTAGCCGAATTTAACCAAGCATCCGCAGATTTAGAAATTGCTAGGTTGGAAGATAAATTAAGGGCACCAAAAGGTCAAAAAGTAGTGGAAACTATTTTCTCCAAGGTTAAAAAGAGACTCTATTCTTCTCATGGTAGAGAAGAGATTATGAAATCTACAAACTTCAATGATTATTTACCTGGACGTGAAAATGAATTTGCATCAATTTACTTGAGCTTGTACAGTGCAGTAGAATCTGGAAGTGCAACTACTGTCTATGTTGCAGGTACACCAGGTGTAGGGAAAACTTTGACAGTTCGTGAAGTTATTAATGAAATGCAGAATTCGGTTGATAATGGGGAACTACCTAAGTTTCAGTATGTGGAATTAAACGGTTTAAAGATGGTTAAACCTACCGATAGTTATGAAGTTTTATGGAATAAAGTGTCTGGAGAGAGATTGACATGGGGTGCAGCAATGGAATCGCTTGAATTCTATTTTAATAAGGTACCAAGAGAGAAAAAGGGGATTGTAGTGGTACTATTAGATGAATTAGATGCATTAGTGACTAAAGCCCAGGATATTATGTACAATTTTTTCAATTGGACTACATATGAAAACGCTAAATTAATAGTTGTTGCGGTTGCCAATACTATGGATTTGCCAGAAAGACAATTGGGTAATAAGGTTTCATCAAGAATTGGTTTTACGAGAATTATGTTTGCCGGTTACACACATGATGAACTAAAGAATATTATTAATTGTAAATTGCAAGGCCTTAACGATTCATATTTCTATGTTAATTCCAAGAATGGTAGTGCACATTTAATCAATCCCGAAGAGGAGAGCAGTATTGATGACGAGAACCTACCGAAACACATTAAAAAGGTGCAATTACGTATGAGTGATGATGCTATTGAAATTGCTGCCAGAAAAGTTGCTAGTGTCAGTGGTGATGCTAGAAGAGCATTAAAGATTTGTAAAAGAGCTGCAGAAATTGCAGAACAGTATTACATGTCTAGGCATGGATATGGTTATGATGGGTTGCCATTGGAGGAAATAGATGATTTTGATATGGAGAATGATGAAGATGTCATAGCGTTACGTAAAGAAAGGGCCAATAACAAAGCGCTTGAAATGACAGAACGCGATAATGATGATTCTATCCAAACGGTTCATATCTCACATATAGTGAAGGCTTTAAATGAAACAGTCAATTCACGTACAGTGAAAGTGATTGAAAGGTTGCCATTTACAGTAAAATTGTTTTTATATGCATTGTTAAATTTAATGAAAAAGACAATGAAACAAGAACAACATTTAGGAGATATTATTGACGAAATAAAGCTGCTAGTAGATGTGAATGGTAAGAACAAGTTTATAGTTGAGATCAGCAAGACACTGTTTGGCCAAGATAGCAGTCCTAACGAGCCCAGTCAACTAAGAATGGTTTCTTGGAATTTTGTTCTTAACCAATTGATAGATTCTGGTATTATAATTAGGCAAACGTTGAAAAATGAAAGAAAGAGTACAGTAAAACTGAACATTTCCACAGAGGACATCAAGAATGCCATTGAACGTGAAGATAGTTTGAAAGGTTTGTAAGCAATTAAATAGTTATAATATATAGCACAAAAAATATTACAATTCAAGAAATTATCTTTAAATATATAGTTTCCACCAATTTATTTTATTCTTGAAAAACTAAGGTATCTTGACCTCAACATTAATTAATTTTTAAAAAAGAGAAAAATGCAGAAAATAACCAAGTGACTTATCCTTAACTACAATAAATACAAGATATCGACCATTAAATACAGAATCGAATACATTCTATTACTTTCTAGTCAAGAACAGATGACAGCGATGTTTTTAATTGCTTTGGTCAGATGTGACACTAAAAAACGTGATTTGGATAACAACAGTCACTCAAAGATAAATATGCACCCGTACATTATCAGCATAAATCCTTGTATTTTCTCTCTACTTTTCTTTTCGGAATGAAAAAAAACTTGAAAACTTGAGAAATAGAGAAATTGAACAAAACGGACAAAATGCAGTAAAACGGTGCGCGTGTTTGTGAGTTTCTGGTAAGCGTGCGATAGATGCCCGCGACGATAGCGAGCAGGCCGATGCAACGACAAGAGATGATGTGCATGTGTGCATGTGTCTCTGGCTGTTACGCCATATTGTCTGTGTCCTTGGTATAAACTTTACGAAGTCGGTGGTCTCCCTGCGCGAGAATTTCCCAAACAACACACACAAACTTGGGCACGTGAGCGTGAACATGAGCGTGAACATGAACGTGAAACACAGACGGGTCCAAATGGGACGGACCACTCGCGCTAGACAGAACATCTCCAAAATCTCCTTCTAGCTCTAGACAGAGGACCCCAGCCTAGACCAGTTCATTCTCGGCCCGCCTGTGCTGGAACCCAGGCACACCGCGCACCGGCAAACAGACGCAACAATGAAAGTTTCAGTATACCAGCCAAGCAGTGAAACTTTTTCATCCACTGTGAAATTTACCAAACCAAGTAACCAGACACACAGAGAAGCAGTGAGATGTGATCCAATAAGCTAGGTAAACTACCATCATTATTTCCAACATCTTCACCATCACCGTTTCTAATACCTAGTCTAGTCTAGTTTAGTCTAGTCTAAACGTTGTAATTGTAGTTCAATGCAAGACAACCCAACTAACTCTTTGTTACAACTATTGGATTGCGAAAATATTGTTAGAGATATGTAACTAACTACCATTTAGTAATCTTTCTTCAACAAACTTGTCGTCGAATGCAGATGGATGATGGATTTGGGCTCACTCTTTCAGTGGTAAGATTGAATATTGTATTGTTTGTAGTTTTTTTCAAATATTGACAAAATATATTTGAAAATTGATATTGTTATATTATATTATATTAGTGGGTAGTATAAATTTGTATTAAAGTTCGTTTTAGTTACAATATAAGAGTATCACTCCCAATAGACCAATCAAGAGCATAATCACCATGGCTGTCGGTAAGAACAAGAGATTATCCAAGGGTAAGAAAGGTTTGAAGAAGAAGGTCGTTGACCCATTCACCAGAAAGGAATGGTTTGACATCAAAGCTCCATCCACTTTTGAAAACAGAAATGTTGGTAAGACTTTGGTTAACAAATCTACTGGTTTGAAGAATGCTGCTGATGCTTTGAAAGGTAGAGTCGTCGAAGTATGTTTGGCTGACTTGCAAGGTTCTGAAGACCATTCTTTCAGAAAGATTAAATTGAGAGTCGATGAAGTTCAAGGTAAGAACTTGTTGACTAACTTCCACGGTATGGATTTCACTACCGACAAAGTTAGATCCATGGTCAGAAAATGGCAAACTTTGATCGAAGCTAACGTTACCGTTAAGACTTCCGATGACTACGTTTTGAGAGTTTTCGCCATTGCCTTCACCAGAAAGCAATCTAACCAAGTTAAGAGAACCTCTTACGCTCAATCTTCTCACATCAGAGCTATCAGAAAGGTCATCTCTGAAATCTTGACCAGAGAAGTTCAAGGTTCTACTTTGGCTCAATTGACCTCCAAGTTGATCCCAGAAGTTATCAACAAGGAAATTGAAAACGCTACCAAGGACATCTTCCCATTGCAAAACGTCCACATCAGAAAGGTTAAGTTGTTGAAACAACCAAAATTCGACTTAGGTTCCTTGATGGCTTTGCACGGTGAAGGTTCCGGTGAAGAAAAGGGTAAGAAAGTCTCCGGTTTCAAGGATGAAGTTTTAGAAACTGTATAAATTAATTTAAAGAGTTTATAAGTCATTTATTTTACATATATTATGTCTCTTTTAAAGTTTTAACCATTAATATTTTACATATTTTATTTTCGGTTTTTATAGAGTTATAAAGTAAAAACGTATACCATATTACTATAATTTTAATCGATTCTTACACAACTCAAGAATTTTGCATCTTCCCAGTACTTAAACCAATTAAGCCTTATTCCCTATATAAATAGATAAAATTATTTACTTATTATCTGTTTATTTAAAAATTATTATCCTTTTCAATAAAGTTTTTCCGTTTATTAGCAGCAAGCATTGCTGTAATACCTTTTCCAATTCTATAACGTGCATCTCCGGATTCATTGTTTACCTTTTCGTAATCATATTTAGGAGCAAATCTATTTGATCCTTTATTTCCCCCAACAGTATAATTGTCATCATCTGTTTTATCCTTGTTATTCAACTTCTTTAATGCGTCGTCAGCACTTAATAATGTGTTGTAAAAGTCAAGAACCTTTTCATGAGCCTGGATTCTACTTCTATCGAAATTTAAAACCTGTAATCCATCTCTAGAAACCGCTCTCGACAAAGCAACGTATGCTTGACCCTTTTCAAATACATTCTTTAAATCAACCTTCACTTTAGGTAATGTCTGACCTTGAGATTTATGGATCGATAAGGACCAAGCTAGCATTAGCGGTAATTGGATTCTTGATACAATAGGTTTTTCATTCTCATCTTCGATAGACCAATCTTCAGGTTCAACCAAAACAGTTCTAGAAGACATATCAGAATTCTTGAATCTAACAAGAGGAAGTTTCCTTTTTCCAGTAGAAGATTTATGAATTTCTTGTAGTAAATTCTTCTTCCTGTTGATATTGTCAATAATTTCGGTACTGTCACCACTAACATTTGATAAAAAATCGAATATGTTAACCCCTAAACTAGATATTTTATAATCTTCTTCTGTTTTGCAAAAAGCTTCTTTTACCAACTTGTTTCTTACTGCTGTACCATTTTCTTCATCATCGCTCTCAGACTTCCATGCTTCTTTTAATAAAGATGGATCTTTCTTTAAGGTTTCTAACTCATCAACATCCAATGTTGGATTCCTTACAATTATTTCGTAAAACATATATGTTTCGGGATCCATAAAGTCAATAACTTTCCCTAGGGATCCATTTACCAAAGTAGCATCGATATTTTTGATCATCATGACTTGGGCGCCAATTTTTAACTTTAACTCTTTAGGAGCAAGGAAATTTTGAAGCAACCTTTCTTTTAACTCAGTATCCTCCAAAGATCCACCATCAATTGCATGGTATTTCATTGTTGCCCCAGGAAGTTTGGCTAATCTTGAATTATTAGCTTTTTCCACCTCATAACGTGTGCTATATAGTTCCGCAGGTATAATTTCATCCTTTTCTAATTCCCTCGATAACTTCTTAAATTCAGTTTCAGTCTCGATATCAATTTCTCCTAATCTCATTTTATTTAACATGTCAATAAATTTTGAATCACCCTCCTGTCTAAATACCTTCTGCAACATAATTGTGACATCGATACCATCTTTCCATAAGCGTGATTCAAACGCAAATGTACTAGGATTATCAGTATTCTTTGATACAGGAGGTAGCTGAAAGAAATCACCGCAAAATATTAACTGAATATTACCAAATGCACGTTTACTCCTTCTTATTTTTTGAGCAATCACATCTAATTTGTCCAGGAGTTCGCCATTTAACATCGATATTTCATCCACAACTAAGACCTTTATTTTCTGCCACCTATTTAAGTGTTTTCTGGATCTACGAACTTTCTTATAAAGATTATTTGTATCACCATTCCCTAGCCCAATCCCGGCAAAGGAATGTACAGTAATACCACCGATATTACAAGCCGCCAACCCAGTGGAGGCAGTAACAGCTACTTTCTCGTGACCATACTTGTTTCTTAATGCTTTTATCATTTCACGTAAAAGTACAGATTTACCAGTACCAGCACTACCTGTGTAAAAGATATTGAACCCTTTTTCCGCTAGCTTAATGATATCCTCTTGTTCTTTACTTAATCTAATAGGAATTTTAACTTTTGTTCGTTCTGGTAAATTCAACTTCTTTGTTTCGTCATCAATGTCAGCATACCCTGGTCGTTGTGTGAGAAACCTAAACTTTTCTCCATATACTGTTGCTGTTACATTTTGATTTGGTATGTCCTCTTTAACATTTTTTTTAGTTTCAGATTTTGTAATTATGACACTGCTTTCCAAGATATCAGAATCTGGAATTTCCGTTCTTTCTACGTTAATATTTCTTAATCCTGTTGAATCTTTTGCCGTGGAAATTGCATTTTTAATTGGAATATCTTCCGAGTTCTTGAGTAAGGCTTCTTTTTTATCAATTTCAGATATATGCTCTATCATTTTGGCATCTGCCTCCAATTGGCTTTGTATAAATAATGGGCCTTCTTCTTCTATAACAATTACCGGAGGAATATTGGGCTTTGGAGATGAGAATGAGGAAGAAGAAGAAGATTCTCTAAAATCACTTACTATATCGATATCTGTAAAATCGATTGCCTTTAAGGCATCTTCCTCCTTTTTTAAATCTAATAATTTGGGAGTTTTGTTTATAATTTGGGTACTTTTCGCTACTTCAGTTTTATCAAATAGGCCTGAAAAGCTTGAGTTAAGTTGTTGCGGAGGGTTTTGAATATGGTTGGAAGAAACAATGTTACCGCCAGTTAATTTCTTATTATTTTGTTTCCCAAACATTTTCAAAATCAGTAAATCATCATCATAATCATCTGAAGAAATATTTGATTTTAGTTTTTGCAATTTTTTACTATTTTTGCTATCACCAGTAGCGGTAACAATATTCTTCCTTGCAATGGGGTCTTCTCTTTTTGGTACTAAATTATCAGTAACTTCCCAATCTCCAGTATCCGAAAGTAAGTCATTTAAATCATCTGACGATATTTTTCTCTTCTTGTCATTCCAAACATTATTGAAAGTAGCCATTTGCCTTCTGAGATATATTGATGACCTATTAGTAGCTTTATAATCTTTGGAAACTCCGGTTAAACTCTTAAGATATAATTTACCAATTTTTTGAAATATCTCCCAATTCCTTAAACCCATATATACAACACAAATTTTAGCACCTCACCAACTCGATTAAATCAACCTCTTGTACCTTTTCTCTATTTGCAGCCCTCAAATAAAAGGTATTTACGAATCGATATTTCTACCTTTTAAACTGATCGTTAATTTAACAACTTTATCCTCGAATTTAAAAATCCAAAAATGGAATAAGAACCAGAATAATTCAAATATCAACAAATCAAACACCTTAGTCCCTTCTCTGACCTTTTTGCTCTTACAGAAGTAGATCTTTTAATCATTATCGTTATGTGTATTATTTCATTATTGATCTATTTTAATATCAGATCTAATCCCGGTACTTAGTATATAAGAAATCTGATATTTAAAGAAATTCGAGATGAGATGAGATGAGATGATCCGTTAAACAAGGTTGTTTATGAAGGTCTTGTTATGTTTCAGTACGTTGGGTAGTGTTCTGAGATTTATATAAGTTGCTATTGTTATGACGGTATCGAAATTTGGTCGATTTTTGGTTTCTAAAGAGGAATTATGTCTAACAAACGTGTTGCAAGTTGGACAGTCTTTCAGATGGATATTTGATGAGAAACTGAATCAGTACTCGAGTAGTTTGAAAGTTGGAAATGATGAGAAGTATGCCCTGGTTGTGCTGAGACAGAATAGTAGTAATGGTGAAGATTTCGTTGAGTTTGGTTCAGTAGGGGGGGATTGCGAGTTGGGAACGTTAGATTCTCATTTAAGAAATTATTTTAGGTTAGATGTATCTGTGAATGATTTGTATTCCACACAATGGTTACCTAGAGATGATCGGTTCAAGTCACATAGTCCATCAGGGAATCGGATCTTGGCTCAGGAACCATGGGAGACTTTAGTTTCATTTATCTGTTCAAGTAACAATAACATTTCAAGGATAACAAAAATGTGTCATGAATTGTGTTCAAAATTTGGTAACAAGATAGGTACATTGGGGGATGTAGACTACTATTCATTTCCTAGTAGTGATGATATAGTAGAGAGATCCTCTGAAGAAGAATTGAGAAAACTTGGATTCGGGTATAGGGCTAAGTATATCATTGATACCGCCAAAATGATGGTTGAAGATAAAACCGCAAATGGATATACTAGCGACACTCAATATCTTATGGAACTTGGTTCCAAATTGACTTACGAACAACTGAGAGAACATCTGATGAGATATTCCGGTGTGGGTCCAAAAGTTGCCGACTGTGTGTGTCTGATGGGGTTTAAAATGGATCATGTAGTACCAATCGATACTCATGTTAGTAGAATTGCCAAAAGAGATTATAACTTTCAAGCAGCTAAAAATAAAATAAAAGACTTATCTAAGAAATATACTGAATACCCTATTACCAGGAAAAAAATAAACATGGAATTGGATTTAACAAGGTTGATGTTTGTTGAAAAATGGGGTGAATATGCAGGTTGGGCTCAAGGTATATTATTTTCCAATGAAGTTGGAAATGCTAATGGGGCAACATCTACTGGGAAAATTAAGAAACGTGAATTAGAGGTTAAACCAGAAGTCAAGGAAGAAAATACAACTGTAAATAGCAAGACAAAAAGAGTGAAAAGACAAAGTTATTGAAATGATTAAATTTCATACATGAATTTTAATATTAATGGAGTCTTAGGATATATAAATTCTGCCTATAGGTTAGTAAATACCAAATAATTATATACAGGGATTAATGACATTTTTAATTGGACAATTGTTTGATAAGAATTCTATGAAGATTGTTCGGACACTGGTTGAGTTGCTTGGGATTGAGCTTGAGCTAGTCTATTTACATATTCAGCAACAGTATCCAATTCATCATATCTAGATACAGCATTACCATTATTCCTCAACTCTAGCACAGCTTCACAAGCTTCTTTAACGTCCTTTTCAGTATTTTCGCATGTAAATACTAAAAATGCTTCACCTGCATCAGTGATCTTATTGTTTGGAGTTTGGTCAAGGAATGTTTTGATATCATTGTTTCTTTCTGAAAATTTCTTTACCTTTAAGTTTGCTATCAGTTTCATACCATCAATGAATCTTTTGTTAACCACATTCTCATCAATAAATTCACTTATACCAAAGATTGATTTTTGGAATCTTGACAATTGTTCGAACGCTTCTTCATCTTCATCTTGGGATAAGAGCAAGAAGTCTTTTTCAAATTCTTGTACAAATGAATCCACTTCTTCAACAAAGGCTTCGTTGGCAATTCTATAAGACCAATCACGTTCACTCAATACATGTCTAATTCTCCACATAGTAGTTCTTACTTTATCGGCCACTTTTTCAAAAGAATCATCACTACTTTCGACAGCAGTCTTCAAAAGATGGTTCTCCCTTGCTAAAATATTACGTTCTTTCAAAGATGTATACCACAACGAATGTAGGTCTTCGAACGATTTCCTTCTCAATTCCGGAATTGTCCATGGTCTGGAGTGGTTATCTAAATCAGCACGATCTCTGAGAAACTTCTTGTCAGCAAAGAATTGCCATAAAGGATGATCTTCAGGACAGACTATATTTTTAGCAGATGGAGGAATAGGAGCTCTAATCTTCAAATTATTATCATGATGAGTAACCTGAGATGGTTCGGACTTGATAACTCTAGCCTGAGGTTTTGGCTTAGGTTTAGTATACTTAGTTCTTGCACTCAAGCGAACTGTTGTGTGTAAACCCCTTTGAACATTCAACATCTTAATTGAACTATATTCTATTTCCAACTCTTTATACCAATATAACTATATGGCTATGTGTATGTATATGTACCTGTACACTTGTATTTTTGGCTGTCAGGTTTATTATTTCCTTTGCTTAAAAAGTTCACCAAAAATCCAGAAATATGTCAATTTTCAATAAAATTTCAAAATTGAACCCAACTTTTAATCCAATACCAATGTGATCCAATCAATACACGTTCGATACCTCCTATGAACCCTTAAAATAACCAACAAACACCGTTTTAAAACTTATCTTGATCATAGAGAGTGCTTTATAACTGTATAAATTTTTCACTTTTAATATAATAATCGTTAAACTGAAAAGGTGGTTGAAAAAAAAAAAATGAAATTTAAACAACGGTTTAAATCAAGAGTTTTATTCAAGAAAGCCTTGAAAAGTTGATGATATCAGGCTAACAGGTTAGGTTTATGGGATTGTGATTGAGTAATTGGGACTTATTAGTGTTGTTTGTGTATAATTAGTATTTTTCAGCGGTTTAATTGGATTAGTAGTTGTTATTTTATCAGGAGAAAAGATGTCATTGGAAACACCATTAGATTTATTAAAGCTCAATTTGGATGAGAAAGTGTATGTGAAGCTGCGTGGGGCTAGGGAGTTGGTGGGTATTCTTCAGGCGTTTGATTCCCATTGTAATATTGTTCTTAGTGATGCAGTGGAGACTATTTATGAGTTAGTAGATGGAGAGTTGAAATCTAATGAAAAGACCTCAGAGATGTTGTTTGTAAGAGGTGATACTGTAACTTTAATTACTACACCAACAGATGACGAATGATTCGATGGGTAAGGGTTGTTTATAATTTTATGTATATGTACGTCATAACTTAATGCATTCTATTCATTATTAAAAATCAGGGTATGTAAACCAAATTCCTGGAAGACATATTTATATAGATTTGGATATATATATATATATATATGATGGCTTTGATAAAAAATGTGGAGATGAGAGGGGGGCAACTTTCAGATACTGTTACGTCTATGCGTCAAGAACTCTGAAACTGAAGAGTTTGCTAAATTGGCTTTCGATCCAGGAATATTTGGCATTTTATTTTCGGTCACTAATTCATTTAGATATTCTCTGCCAAAATCAATACCAACTTTATAAATTTCTTCAAACTTGCTAAAATCTAAGGTCGCAAAATTCTCAATCGGTGGCCTCACGTATATTACTCCAGGTAGATGTTTGGCTCTTTCTAGTGCGTTCACAGATGCAACGTAACCTAATCTCATTTGAATTTCCGCCATTGTAGGAATATTAGGGTAACTGGAAAATGGGTTCCACCTATTAAGCAATATCCAAAACCCATTTAAGGAATCACCATATTTCATTAGCGTCCTGTCATCAACAGAACCGACATCGACTGCAAATATTGTACTACAACCACGGGCTTTCATTTCGTCGACAGGAAGATTGTCAACATAACCACCATCTAACAGCATTGTTCCGTTCTCTTCTAATGGTGGAAGCAGACCAGCTAATGACATAGATGCTCTGATATATCTCCATGCGTACCCAAAGGAATGTATTTCCTGGATAGATTCTGTTATATTGGTGGAATTACAATAATATTGAATCCAAAAATCTTCAATTCTTGTGTCACCAAATGCTTTCCAAATACCACGATTAAATTCGTGACCAGTAGTGTATGAAGTAACTGGCCATGTTAAGTCACTTAACATTCTCCAAATAGATGAAATTCTCCCTACAAATTTCTTTAGTCTACCATATATTGGAACAATGTCGTAATCTTTTGCATACAAACCACTAACAAATGCACCCATTGATGTACCACCAATCAAGTCGATTGGTATACCTTGTTCATCAATTGCCTGCAATACACCTAAATGACTTAACCCTCTTGCACCACCACCACCTAAAACAACACCAATAGCTTGACCAGATAAAATTCTTGCTAATCTTAAAAAGTCACTCTTATGCGAATGGACAGAAGTATAATAATGTCTTTTTGTCCCCCTTATCTTGGCAGAGAATAATTCAACTTTAGATTTAATTGAATCGGGTACATATTTTGATAGGTTCTCTTGAGTTCTCCTGCTAAACTCAGTTTGGATTAACTTATCAACTAAAGTTGAAGGTCCGCCATTTATTGACTCTGACTTTCCATTTGACTCAGCATCCATTTGGTTCACAATATATTGGATATGATGGTGTGAATGGACCCAGCTTCTCTCTTTTAGCCATTTGTAGGTTGAACCAGGCTCTATATATCTTTCTGGATGTAGTAATATTAACTCAGTCCTTGCCGTTGTCTTTGACTTTACTAATAGTCTTTCATATTCACCAATCTTAGGGTCATCATTTACATCTGCCAATAATAAAATACAATCACCCTGCGCTATACAAGTTGAAGTCCAACTTGAATTCACGGGTGTATCTGCAATGTATACAACAGTGTTGTATATTTCTTCCAGCTCAGCAAAATATCCACTTTGTTTTAATTTTGCCAATTTGTCAAAAGCATGCCTTCCAAGATGGGATAAAGCTGTTCTTTGAGTAAGGCCAATTGTGTTACATCCAACTTGTTTGAATGCTAGAACTAATTTATAGGCAAATGCTTCGACAGGTAAACCTCCAGTCACGGGTAAGATTGTAATAGTTCTGTATGTAGTTAACTTTGAGGTTGTTCCTCTAATATCATGAGGAGTGTGGATATGTGATACAGATTTGCTGGATGGTATCATTAAATTAAAATCATATTTATAACCATTATCACCTACACCCTTATTCTCTGGCGCCGGGAGTCCCTTGATGTCCATTATTTTCCTTGCCACTAATCTAGATATACGGAACATAATTGAAGGTTGTTCAGAGGCCAAAATTTCAAATAAGGTCCTAGGAATACGAGCTAATTCTGAATCACGTACAGCTACAATGCTGTACAAACGTTTTGTTGCAGTTAACACCTCGACTTCACCAAAACTTTCACCTTGTGCTAACTCACCTATTGTTGTATATTTTACTTCATCAGGAGGTGTTTTATCCTGGTTACCTGATATATTGTTTTGTTCCTGGAGTTGCCTTAAGCGACCATTTAGTACTACATAGATACCATTTGCAGGATCGCCTTGATGAAATAGTGTTTCTGATGCAGATAAATTAATCCACTCTAATGCATGGTCAAGCTTTAACATTCTGGGAGAAATTAAACTAGTTAAAGTTTCAGAGAACCTTAAGTATATTAGGAAATATTTATCACATAACCTTTCCAAAGTTTCGTTTGGTAAAAGTCCAACGTAAAC